AAAAAAAAGACCTACCTAAGTGGTGTCTATTTGGCATAGCTAGATGTTACAGTTATACCCCAGGTAGGACCTAAGCATGGTAAGAACTTTTATATGCCCTATTATGGTTTCTACCACCATCCAATTGATGGGCCTACAAAGTTCCCTGCCCTGAGCACTGACCCTCAAGAGGTAGGCAATCGTTGTTAGATAACAGTGATAAATATTTTAAAGCTGCAAAACTGATTCTAATTGTGAAACTTTAGAAGGATAAGGTGGTTCCAAGGCAGAGAAACAGGGCAAGGCTTTCAGATGGCTGGCTCACAGGACTCCTTAAATCACAGCCAGGGGGGCCTGCGTCAGAGGCACTCTGGGGCCCACTCCCCAGAGGAACTTGCTCACCTGTATCTCACATGCAGCCTGCAGGTGGAAGACCTTATAAAACGCCTCCTCCACGGTGTCACCTAGAGCAACCACTCCATGGTTTCTTAGCACCAGGATCTGCAGAGGAGCAAATGGCCAATTAAAACTTCAAGTCTTTTAAACTTTAGTTAAGAAGGAACGATTTTTCATTTATTCCAGATCAGTTTCCATATCCAATCCCAAAGCACCCTCCCCACCAACTCCTTGCTCATTCTCTCCCTACAAACATTCCTAGCTACCCCACATGTAATATTAACCCGAGGAATCATCCCTAAGAAATGGAAGATGCTTTGTAAAACTGAGACTAGGTAGCTTGCTGGATTTCTTTGGGCAATACCTGGATTTTTAGGCTTTGGAGGGCTTAGAAATCTAAAAAACTGGTGTCTGTTAAATTGAATGAAATTACTTGATGTCCAATATTAGGGACTAACCTCAAAAGCAACCTCTGGATCCTGTGACTTGGTTGACTTGGAAATCAAAACCCAAGGGGGTGGCTCTCTCAAGAGGTGGTTCTGAAGAAACAGGTGAGTCATGTCACCTCTCTGGACCTCAAGTCTCCTCTCCATGAATTCGGTGATGTCCTGCCAGCTCTAAGACCCTATAGCTCTGTGAAAGAAGCTGTAGTGACCTTCTACTCTAACTCTCTGGTTTTACAGAAGAGGAAACAGAGGCCTAAAGAAATTGAAAGTCTCCCAGCTAGTCAGGGGCAGAATCCGAACTAGAACCCAGGTGTTTTCACTGTTGGTGCAATGTTTGTGAGTCAGCCAGGAGCAGGGAGATAAAAGGGGTGGTGGTGGGGGAGAGAAACAGAAATTAATTTACACTAAGAGCCTGACTCCCCAAAGTTCAGATGCAGAAACTGTTCCTTGGTTAGTTTTATCTTCAAGAACTCTCTGAAAACAGATGATGCCCACTGAGTAAGAGGAACACAGATCGGTGTGTTGGATTTGTCCTTGCAGACCTCGGCTGAGGCCTAGTGGCCTCATCATCACATTCTCTCTTGCTGAATGAAAACAGCTGGAGTTTTTTTCCTCTCAAGGGAAACAGGAAGGGATGATGACTCTGGCCTCCAAAAGACTTTGTAGATAGCAAATGCCCCATGTCTCAAACTCTGACAGCATTTCATAGATGTGAACATTTCCTCCTTCTCCGGGCATTGCTAATGAGGCATTAGAGAATGTCAGGAGAGAGTGGCAGGGATTTCTCCTCTGTGTCAGAGATGGGAAGACAGGGGCTCTCAGACTGGAAATGACTCAGGCAGTGAGTGCCTTTTGAGGACAGGAACAAGCATCCATCAGCCCAGGCTCCGTTCCAAAACTTCCTGTACTAAGCTGGCCACCCCTAATTATTTGCTGTTAAAATATAGGTCTTTAGATTAAAAAAAAACAATAGTGAGATTCTGTTTCTATCAAGTTAGCAAAAAAAAATGATAACAAGTTTAGGAAGACTAGGAAGCAGCGTCTCACATACCAGATGCTGGGGAGGAGAGGGCAATTTGCCTATATGAAGTAAGAGTTCTAAAATGTGCATCCCAGGCATTTATCCTAAGGATGCAGTCTCAGGCATACACAGAGATTTAAATGAAAGAATTTTCATTGCATGTTGTTCACATCAAGGAAAAATTCAGGGGAAAAAACCCTCCAAATGTCCAACTACAGAAGACTGTTAAGGTAAAATGGTGACACAGCCATTCATATAATGAGGTATATTTTAATAATTTAAAATAGTGATTTAGAAAATAATAAAACACAACGGTATTTACTGGATATTGCTAAGGGAGAAAGGAGAATATATTTTATGATCCTAGTTTTATAAATATATGCGACTATATTTCGAGTGAGCACCAAAACCTCAGGGTAGTGGCATACAGAGAATCTTTTTTCACTTTTTTGTATATGTGCAACTTTGAAACATTGTCCACTGAACACGTGTCACTCATGATGTAGGCTTTTGACAATCCCACCCCAGAGCGTCTTCCCGGAACAGCTGAGCAAACCTTGCAGGTGGGTCCAAGGCACTTCTGCAGGCTGATTCGATCCGCTTCCTGCTCCATCCCACCATTGAAGTCATAGTAGGCCATGTCCCCCACCAGCAGGGCATTGTGGGAGACAGGCAGGAGGCCGCACTTCATGGCCGACACCTTCAGTGAGACAGTGGAATGGTTAGCACCTGCAGCTCCCCTAGCTCCTCTGTCACATCTGCGCTTTCCTCAGAGTGGCACAGCCAGACTCTCCTCTGGGGACTACTGGTAGAGGGAGTAAGCCCCCAACAAAGGCACCACCCTCTGCCTCTGCTGCACCTGATTGGGTCTGGCTTTCTGCTTTCTCTGATGTCTTTCCAGATTTCCCAAATCTTACCATTTTGATAGCAGCCATGTCAATATATCATTTTCTAAAACTGCTACAGAGAATGCCCTTGAGAGAGCTGGTGCTGCTGCCCACTCCCAGCTCTTCTCTTGTCCTAGGACTCGGGGAAGAGGCTGGGGTGAGGCAGGGTCCAGGGTCCTCTGGGATGGGCTGGTGGAAGTCCTCAACCTTGAGGTCAGGGCAGAAACAGGGAGGCTCACTAAGAAGCCCCATCTTACTCGTGACAGGGCAATAAGAGCACCAGGGAACAGGGTTAAAATCCATGCCCCACACCCTGCCTTTTATTAAAAGCAAGGGCATGGAGAGATTTAGGAGAGCTTCTTGCCTTTGTTTCACTCATTCTGCCCCATGAGTAAGCCTGCAGAAATGGACACTCAGCACACATATATCATTCAGTCTTGGCCCAAATTCTGGAAAATCTGAATCCTCATAACTAGTGTACTTGGTAGAAAAAACCCAAGGCCAGTGACAAGTCTGCTCTGCCCCTGTAGGTATGAGGCCTCGTAGTCAGAAAGATGGGTTGAAGGCTGGGGAAACATCCAGAACTGGTTGGTGGTTGCCTTTCCAAGTGACACTGCAGTGTCTTAGGTACACATGGGGAAATTACCAGAGCCCTTGAACGGACAATCTGATACTTGAGGGTATCGCTTCTACTCTTTCCTGGTTTTCCTTGCTGCAATCCCAGCTCTCAGCCTACCTTGGGCAATGAGGAGTGGACAAGTCCAGGTTCCCACTGTATTATCTTTTATCAAGATCTCTCCTTACTAGAGAGAGGGGCTGGGGGCAGGCGTCAGCCCTTAGTCCAGTAGGACTGACCTGAACAGAAACTCAAGAGATGCCATTACCTGGGTCAGTAGTGCTTGTGTGTGTGTGTGCAGCAGGGTGGGGGATGCAGTAGAGCAGACATTACACATCTTTACCTTATCTCCCCAAACCAAGACTTTGGTGCTTAGAAAAATGGAGAGGATTAGTGTCCACACGTTGGGTGTTCCCTCTCCTCAACTTGGCCTGAGTTCCAGGAAATCTTTCCAGAACTGTTTTTAAAAAACAAGACTGCCACCAGCTTGGGGGGCTTAGGTCTTTCCTCAGGGAGAACCTCAGAGAAGCAGGTAGCAGGGGTCTGCCGCCAGCCTCAGGGTCTGAAATGCCGGCCTAAGGAGTGGACACTCACGGCTGCGGTGGCTGGCGTGTGCAGGTGGATGATGCAACGCACGTCGGGTCTGGCTGCGTAGATGGCCGAATGCAGACAGAAGCCCGTGGTATCCACTGGGAAGCAGCTGCTGCCCTTCTCCACCACCTCTCCCAGGATATTCACCTTGATCTGGGCCAACAAAGAAGAGAGACTGATGGCCACAGGGCCGGCAGAGGCCCTCACAAGTCTCCCTGCCCGTGGGCCAGCACACGCCTACCCACTGTATTTCAGACATTCCAGCACACCAGGAGCTAGGGCTGGGCTTGGTGTTGGGAGAAAAAGAGACCTGGTTTCTGCCCTCAGTGAGTATACAGGCCAACAGGCAACATGGGTGATTATAATTCAGCAGGAAAAATACTACAGCAGAGTTTCTCAAACTTTACTGGGTATAATAATCACCTGGAGATCCCATCAAAATGCAGATTCTGATTCAGTAGCCAAGAATGGGGCCCAAGAGTCTACATTCCTAACAAGTTCCCAAGTGACACCCAGGCTGTTGGTCTACAGACCACAACTTGGGTAGAGGGGCTAGAAGACAGTCCATCACAGAATTCTCTAGAAACAGATGGAAGGAGTGTTTGATCCCAGTAAAAGAAGGAGATCAGAGAAGTCTTCCCAAAAGAAGTAATATCTGAGATGTTTTCTTGTTTTTTTACTCTTTACTTTGAATTTTTAAACATACACAAAGGTAAAGAGAGTAGTATAATAAACATCCATTTACTAATCACCCAAAAGCTAGGTCTTAAGGGACAGGTAGAAACTAGTCACTGGTCTTATAATATAATCTGCTTCTGATGCCAAGGAGGTAGTAGGTGTCATGGCTAAAAATCACACATTCATGTGATGTGCGCACACACACACACACACACACACACACACACACACCCCTAATGGTGGCTCTGGCTGGCTCTGCACACAGTCAGGCTGTGGTGTTCCCTGCTTAGCATAAACAGTTTCACGGAACATCACCACTAGAGAAGGTCACTTTGTGACACAGCAAGACAAAAGACTATTCCTTAATCATGCTTAAGCATAGACAAAAACAACCCTGTGCAAGTACAATCATGTCCATACCTCCTCCTGGCTAAGGGGAAACCCTGGAGCTTCTTTATCAATGGCAGCTTCTGCCTCACTCCAATCCCCCACTCCTGCCTCACAGAACTGCCCCTATGCCTGACATTGCAGTATCCAAGGCAGCAGCCTCTTCTTAGCACCAGCCAGTTGTCCTAAAGTCACTTCTGCACACAGCTGGCAGGGTACGATTGCTACACGGAAACCTGGCCACATCACTCACCTGCTTACAGTGCTTCAGAGGCTCTACACAACCAGCAGAATAAAGCGAAAGCACCATAACAAGGCTTTTGGTGCCATTTATCATCTGGTCCCTGTCACCATTCCAGCCTCACTAATATGTGAGCCAGACGCAGCCACTCACTGTCCTCCCAAGTGCACCATGATCTGGCATGCGTCTGGCTTTGTACGAACTGTCTTCCTGCTGAGGACACAATTGCCTCTGCCCAGCCCCTCCCTGCTGTCCCGGTCTATGTCTGCCTATCCTGTGGTTTCCTGGGGACTCAGTTCATTCACCACTGGGTCAACCCAACTCCTTTGCCCCTCCTGCTGGGGCTCCCTAAGCTTCCTGCTATAGGAGAGCATTCTTCACTCTGAGTTTACTTGCCTGCTCCCCCACTAGGCCACGAATGACTTAAAGGCAGAGCCTGTGCCTCCTTGTGTCTTTGGTTCCAGTCTGACTCAACCATGACCTTGTTAGGTGGCCCTGTTCAAGTCACTTACCTCCCTGGGCACCAGCATCCTCTCTTCCCTGTAAAGTGGCCTTGGCAGTCCTCATGGTCCTGCCCTGCCCAAATACACTGTGACTTTGTCGGCTGGCTCTTTTAACTGCAAGCCTGGACTCAACATGTGAGAGTGTGTCAAGGCTGGCAGAGGCCTGGAGGTGGCACCCTCTGGCCTCGGCTGTGCAGCACAGATGATGTAGCCCCCCGCAACCACTGGCCCTCTTCTGCTTGTAAGACAGTCCTTTCTACTGTTTTCCTTCTCCCACCCAGGAATATTTCCTGATCAAGACCAACTTCTGGAACTTTCTTCCTACTACACCTAAAAGGAGCAAGAGAACCAAAAGGGGTCCCAGAAGCTATCTCGAATGGCACCAGCACTAGGCAGGTCTTGCAGAGTGCTTGAGAGAAAGTACTGGCTGTTGTTCTAATATATCCCCGAATCTAGTAAGGCCTCCCCACTCCCAGCCTTTGGGGTCCAATCCCAAGCATAGGAAGACCCCGTGCCCATCTCCTCCATTTCCTCCTCCTCCTCCTCCATCTCCTCCTCCTCCTCCTCCCTCCGACTGTGCTTGTTGCCTGCACCTTGCATTTGGTCTCTTGGTTGGGTTGTGCTATGGGTATTCTGCTTCAGGGCCATGTGTCTTCTCTGGCCCACCAGACTGCAAGCTCCACAAGGAACAGGACAACAGCAGCTAATCTGGAGATGGCCTGTCACTCTAGGCTGCTGTTGTTTCAACCAGGAATAGGCAGTGAGATGCCAGACTGTACTCACCAGGCTGGATGCGGTGACTTCACTACAAGAAACTCCCTTAGGGCTAATCAGGAAGTGATCCTGTTCCTTGCTGACTCTCAGCTGGAAGGAAGACACATGTTGTCAGTGGCAAGGAGAGAGAGGGATCATTTCCAAGGACTCTCTGCTTGAATCCTCTCTTCCCCTGAATCCACTGCGTCTAAAACTTCCTCCCAGGAACCCTTATCTCCCTCCAGCACATGAGAGATGAAGATGATCCAGCCTTTATTTGGAACTGGGGCAATGGACCTACAATAGGAATCTCCCAATGATCAGGGGTAGCCCTAGAAATAGGCTCCAGGAGTTCCTAGCTCCTTATCTAGAGAAGTGGCCACGAGTGACCACAATGGTTAGAAACCTTGAAAGGGCTCAGTGCATGACCATGCCAACAGCAGGAGTTCTCCCTTCCGATTTTGTCAGGGCCACACACAGTGCCCACCCCACTCCACGATGCTCTCCTCACCGTAACGTAGGTGTCGCTCAGCTGGGCCCAGCCATAAAGGTCTAAGAGACGGTACACGCTGCTGATCTTGCACCGCATGAGCCGCTCTCCCTTGGCCAGGTTCAAGGTGTCAGCTGTGTGGAGGTCATTGATGGGTGTCATCATGGAGAAGTCTGCAGGGAAACAGGGCGGGGACAGGGCAGCTCTCAGGGTCAGGGCTCCTGTCTGCCCCCCTTCCTTCCTTGCCCTAGTCCTCTCCAAATTCTCACTGGCACCACAACTGCACAAAACTTCCACAGGCAGGGAATTAAATATTCTTTGACTCTTACCCAGGGGGAGACTGTCCATAGAATGGATTGTTGTGCCCAAGTAAGTCTTCTGCTTATTCAGATAAAAATGGCATTGCTTTTGGTCAAAACTCATGGCCATATTCAAACCACAGAATGGAGAGTTCTCAGAATGCCAAGCCTACAATAAATCCTGAAGATGGACACTGAATAAAAGCAGAAGTAAGTTTCTGAGCAGAAATAGGGATATATTTTATCAACTAGTTTTCATGAAGAAGTTCCTAATCATTAGACCTGCTATTATCATATTGTTTAAACTATACCATGTAATATAACTTCTCCTCTGCTTTAGAAACAGGGAAAATTAGAAAGCCAAGTCAGGCAGGAAGTCAATTCCTCAACCTTTTCTGACAAGTCATAAACTTCCAGAAGTCAGTATGGCTGGCTGAAAGGCTTCAGGCCTCAGGCAGGCCACATCTTTTCCCCTCTGGATGTGCAGTCCCTTGGTTACTTATGGTTCTTTCTGGGAATTTGGAGGGATGTGGAAAAGATTTGGAAATTGGCCTAGAAGATTTGATGGTCCTATCCTCAGGGCACCCAAAGGGTCTAGGAGGTGATGTCCAGTCTATCCCACTAAAAATGATGACTGCTGCCTGCACACCTCCAGAAGGCATAAGAGGGTGTCTGAGACTAGCACTTCTGATTAGTATCCAGAAACCAATAAAAGAATCAATAGGAGAGGGTTCTGGCTTAAAATGATGTCTGGCTGGGAGCCTCCTGATGCTGCCTCTCCCAGCATCTCACTAAAAACTTTAATGGATTCAAATGCCCTTTAGCAGCTTCCACCATCTCAATAACCTCACTACTACACAATGTGATATATGTCCTATATCAGGTTTGCCATTAGTTGAAATGATGAGGTTGTTTGCAGAAGTGAGGGTGGATCAGGTGCTGTTGGGCCTATGTAAAGCAAACAGAACCAACCTCAAAACACCCCATGTCAGGAATATGCCCCCAGAAAGCCTGTGACCACCAGAGGGATACCTCCAGGGCATGTGTCCAGTAATCATGGTTGACAGAGAAAGAAGTGGTCCAAAGGCTCAGCTGAACTGGCAAAAAGAACAACAAAATTCTAAAGTCAACAATTTCTAATTGGAATTGACCAGTCTGGGATCCTTTCTTCCTCTCTGCGCATTCCCTAGACAAGCAATTACCTCTTTGCTTCATCCCTAGCAGCAAGAAGGGAGGGATATCAAAAGCAACCCTGCCCCCATATAAAGCCAGGCAAGAGGGGCTATCCACAATTTCTTGGAATCCTTGTTTTACAAATGACTGTGGAGTCCCAGGGATGGCCAGGAGGCCAGAATAGGTCTAAAAACATGCCATCACATCTTCCGTGTCCTGTATCAGTGTCCCCCTCCCCCACTCCATGGAGCTTTGCTGTAAGGATTATCCCACCCACAGGCCCACGGTGGGAGAAGAGACCAGAAGCTTCCACCAGCAACTCAGAACCTCTGCTCTCAGGGTTTTAAGAGAAAGAATGCTTGTTCTGACCAGCCTCACAAAAGTTAGGATACTGAGTGCCAGGTTTATGACTTAGATCTAACCAAGCCATTTACTCAAGGGACCTAAGAAAACACAGAAAGAGATGAAAACTCACTAACCCCTCTGGGAAAGCGAAGACTGAAGGACGCACTATTGCAAAAAAAAAAAGAAACCAAAATAAAAACACAGAACCACCACAAAATTCTAAGGCAAATGGAGCTGGACAAAGAACAACCTATCTGTGCGTGAATTCATGACTCTTGGAACCTCCCCTGTCCACAATCCCTGACTCAGATACCCTGGACATAGACTAATCAGATTTTCAGGCATCCAACTGTCTTTCTGACAGATGCTGGCCAGTGAGGCAGTGAGAATTCTGGTCAGCTCTATTTCTCTCCCAAAAGAAAGAGTATAAGGTCAGAGACATGAAAACGATGAGAAAAAATAGGATAGCTATGGAAGACAAAGACCAGAGAGTCAGCATACAGATAATTAGCATCAATATAACAGAAACAATTTCTGAACTGAAAAAGAGACCTGTGTAAATAAGTTATAAGGATTTACTACATGCCAGAGGGAAAAGTCCATGAAGGGAAAAAGCCTATAATTATATGCTTCCTGACACATTTCTGGAATACAAGGATAAGGAGAAAAAATGCACAAACACCTACAAAAAAATTTGGGTTACCTACAAGGTAACAAAAAAATAGCCTGTTTCAAATTTCTCTGCTATAGCAATAGATGCCAGAAGACAATGCTACAGGAGGTTTACTAACAAACAACACTAAAATAAAGTGACATAAAGCAGGTAAAAAGAAAAGAGTCACCAAAACTATGCCCAGAAAATGTAAACAAAAATAAACAGAGATCATAATACTATTATCACAATAGAAATCAGGGAAAGCACATCCTTTTGGAATATTCATCCTTGGCACCAAGAAGGGAGGTATAACAAAAGCATAAGGACCCCAGACAAAGCCAGGCAGCAGAGGTCACTGTTGGGAGGACCATTGTATACATTATCCTACATGAAATAAACCTATAATTCATAATGAAGCTACAGCTATAAAGAACACTTTTGCTTTGGATACCGTTTCAGCAAGGTACAAAGCAAAAGCCATCAGAAATACAAAGAGAAACGAACGCTAATCAAATATACAGAGGAAAACAACACAAATCTCACTTTTTATAAAATTGAAAATAATAAATGAAGATACAGTTTAAACACTATGCCCTAGAGACAGAATCTACATATCATTTAAAAATGATATTAGGGCACAAAGAAAATCTCAGTAAATCCCCAACATAGACATTAAATAGGCCACATTACCCAAACACAATGCAATAAAATTAGACATTATCAACAAACCTTTAAAACAATACAAACTAAACCACTTGGAAATGAGAAAGCACACTCCCGGACAGTTCTTAGAATACAAATAAATCAAAGCAGCAACTGCAAACTATCTAGAAATTAACAATAAAGGAAATACTGTGTCAAAATTAATGAGGTAAGACCAAACTTACATTCAGAGAAAAAAAATTCATAGCCTAAAATGTCTTTATTATTGAATTAGAATGAAAATAAAGTATTCATTTTATCCTATTCCAGAAAAAAATATAAATATCAAAATAAACCAAAGAAAACTTTTGGAAAATAATTAATGAATAGAAAAACAAAATCAATGAATTGGGAAGCTTGAAAATTAGTAGAACAAACACATAGATCCAAGAATTGGCTTATGCAAGATATATGAATAAACCAACATCTGGATTGGCTGTAAAAAGACAGGGGGAATACACAACACCAGAAATGAGAATGGGATGTCATCTCGTCCACAACTGAAAGTTTAAATGGTAGAAAGATGGTACATTACTCTAATAATTTTGAGACTCCCTATGAAATGAATCATTTATTTAAAATATATGGCCAAAATTTACTCAGGACGTAGCAAAATGAATTTTTTAAAGACCCTAGATAAAACTGAGAAAAAAAAATGTTATCAAAAATGTCGCCTATCTGGATGGCTTTACTAGTGAATAATAAATCTCCAAGGAAGAGAGACTTCCTATCTTATTTAAATTCCATCAGGACAGGGGCATCTGTGTGACTCAGTTGGTTGAGCATCCAACTCTTGATTTCAGCTTCTGGTCATGATCCCAGAGTCCTGGGATCAAGCCCCATGTTCAGCTCCACACTGAGTGTGGAGCCTGCTTAAGATTGTCTCCCCCTCAGCCCCTCTCCTCCTCTCTAAAATAAAAACAAATAAATAAATAAATGCCATCAGGACAAAGAAAAGTGCAGGGATCACCTGATTTATCTTATGAAACTATAGCCTTAATACCAGTACTAAATGAGGACTGCACAAAAAGGGAATTTCTGACCAATCTCATGTATGAATATGCAAAATCCTGAATAAGTCTAGCAAATCAAATCTAGAAGAATATTTTCAGAAGAATGCATCAAGACCAGGAATGATTGATTTCAGGAATGAAAAAATACTTCAATATTCAGAAATCTATTAATATAATTCATCACATCACTAGTTCAAAGAAAGGAAAGTCAATAAATGCCCAAAATGCATTTTATAAACTCAACATCCATTTCTGAGAAGAACCCATATTGAACTAGAATAAGAAGAGATTTCCTCAACATGATCACAAACTCAACTCTTCGGGTAAAGGGTTTCTATTAAAGTCAGAAACAAGAATGATTATTCTCTAATCTATTATTAAACATCGTTCTGAGAGTTCTAATGAATACAGTGAGAAAACTGGAAAAAGAAAACAAAGGGTAAATGTTGAAATGAAGGATTAAAAATGAACATCATTTGCAGGTCATGGGATTTTTTTTAAATATACAAAACCCAAGAGAATTAATTGAGAAACTATTAGAATTTAAGAGTTCAGCAAGAAGCTACTTTTCTGGTACTGGTAAGCTTCTGGTAAGAAGCTACTGGTGACAGCTATCACCAGAAAAAAAATTGAGTGGAGAAAAAAATCATTTAAAATAACAAAGTTACATAAAATTTCCAAGATAAACTTAATAAGAAATTAGTAGGGACTATATGAAAAGAACTACCAACCTTCTCTGATGGACATTAAAAAAGGTTAAAAAAAAGCAAATAAACAGAAGACATACATCATCTCCGAACAGACTTAAAATTCATTCATGCAAATATTTTTAAAACACCTACTCTGTGACAGCTACTTTTCTAAGTCCAGGACACTACTCTAGGGTACAGCAGTGAACAAAGGATACAAATATCTTTTCTCCTGTGGAACTTATATTCTAACATAAAATTGTAAATTTATAAATTCTTCACCAAATGAATCCATTCAATACAATCCCAACCAAAATCCCAAAAGGGAATTTTTGAGGTAGATTGGCGGAGGGTGGAGGGGGGGTGGGGGTGGTGCGGAACATGACAAATTCTAAAGTTATTTTTAAGAATAAACTGGCACAAATAGTTGAGGATTTGACAAATAAATAATTACGGGTATTTGTCCCATGAGATGATAAAACATGGGAAAGGTGTTTCTGAGTGTGTAACCAAAAGCAGAACACACAAAGGAAAGTACCGACAGATTCAGAATGTGATACAATTCTGAATTGTACTACAATTTACTACAAAAAGAAAATCACCCCAGTATGTATATGAAAATATATCCAACCTCATTAGTAATTAAATAAATGCACATTAAAACACAAAGTGCTATTTATTGCCTATCAAATCAAAAAGATGAAACGAATGGCATAATACTACTATGCACAGATCAAGGTGCAGGAAATGGGCATGACTGCATTTTTTGTGGGAATGTAAATTGGTTCTTTCTTTCTCCAGGGAAATTTGGCATTATGCATTAACATCTTCAAAACATGCAAATTCTTTAATCCAGCAATTCTACTTCCAGCAATCTGTCTTTAGAAAATAGTCATAGAATAAATCGAAGAATTTATTGCATTGTTGTTCACAACAGCAAAAAATTGTAAACAACCTAAAAGTCCAAAAATAGGAAATTGGTTAAATGAACTATGGCATACTCAGCCATGCCACAGAATATGCATACCTCCACCAAACATTGTATTACAGAACCATGTTTTATTATGTGAAAAATTAGTCAAGATATGTTAAGCTATCAAATTTGCATATATAATGTGATTCCATTTTTGTTTTCTTAATTTATCTATGTTAAGAGAAAAAGAGAAAAAGTCATTTCTTGGTTGTAAGAACACAGTACAGTGATTTTTATTTCTCTTTCTTGAATTATTTTCCTAATTTTCAGTCATATTCCTGTATTTATGCTGTTGAGGGGAAGTATTTTTTAAAATTTTTTTAATGTTTATTGATTTTTGAAGGAAAGAGAGACAAAGTGTGAGTGGGGGAGGGCCACAGAGAGAGGGAGACACAGAATCCGAAGCAGGCTCCAGGCTCTGAGCTGTCAGCACAGAGCCCGATGCGGGACTCGAACTCATGAACTGCAAGATCATGACCTGAGCTGAAGTCGGACAATTAACTAACTGAGCCATTCAGGTGCCCCAAGTATTTTTTAATGTTTGTTTCTTAAAGGTTGTGGGCAGAGCTTCAGAGACTAGGAAAATGGTTTCATGCCCAGCTCTGGATGTGTGTGGCTCTTGTCTAGGGAGTCAGGTTGGTCTGTCCAGCGTGAGACTGAGACACTGGCTTCAATGGCCTCCTCTCATCCCCACGACCCCATCTGCAAAGGAGTGGCTCCAGGAGACTGAGGAAAGAGCAGCCTGAGTCAGGGCCTGCTGCTAGAACACAAGGATTTTTCTTCGGTTCTGCACCTGTAACTAGAGTAACAGGGAGCAGAATCCTCACTCCCCACTCCTGGTCGCTCAAGTAGAGGCCATGTAAGGGACTTTGAGCCGCAAAACTCTTCCCTTCATGCTAATCCACTTATGAGGGGGACTGGAAGAGTCACATAGAGGCTGCCCTGCCTCTCACAGCAGTGACACCATGTCATCCCGTCCCCTCCCCCAGCAGAATGAGAAAAAGGTTTTCCTGTAAGTCATCCTCCCCATTCTATTTCTGGGCATCAGGAAGAATTCTTCTGTGGGTCTTTAAATCCAGCAGCCTCAGAAGCAGAGCCAGGTACCTCTTTGGCTGGTCCCCCAGGTCTGCAAACCCAGTTGCACCACTCACTCCGTAGCCTGGCAACCAACCCTCTCTTCCCCGCCCCACTTCCTCCACCTCTGCTCCTGGCAGCTCCCCAGCTCCCCACATACTCATGGAAGATGTTGGGAAGACTGCGTGGGAGGTGCTGGCCATGAAGTCCGCGATCTGCCGCAGGGCCCAGATGTTGGAGGAATTGTTCCCCTTCTTCATCTGCTCCTGGATGAGGCCTTCCAGCTCCTCCCTGAAAGACTGAAGCAGGCCCCAAGGCGCTGGTCCCCCCAGTGTGTCTCATGCAGGAGACTGAGGGCCCCTCTTCCAAGTGCCCGCCCCTATCCCTGGCTCAACTAGGCCAGGGCCACACATGGGATCCTCGGGCCCCAGAAAACACTGGGGGTTCCACAGGTACCTCAGGAGACCCCCCCCCCAACTGCTGTTTGGGAAGCAAAAAGATGTCCCCTGCTGTGTTCCCTTTGCCCTATGAACCGTAATCCAGATTCCAGGTCCTTCCTGGGTCTAAGTGACAGTCAAGACACACTCCCCATCACCCACCTGGACTTCCCCTACCCACCACCACAAGACTAAGGCGGCTTCACTTTAGTAATTGAGACATTTTAAAAAGAAGAACTGAATGAAAAAGTGTGCTATTGTCCCTGTCCAGTAGGCATGCCTATGGCTCTTCTAGGCCTCAGTTTCCTCATATATGGAAGGATTTGCTGTCCTCCCTGTAGCTTCCATTTCTGATGTCCTATAACTCTAAGCCTGGCTTTTCAGACCATAACTAAGACATGCCTGTCCACCAGGTGGCAGCAGGGAACACGCAGGAGGAACTAGGCATTGGTGAATCTATAAAAGGACAGAAGAAACATGACCTCCTCATGTCCTCATTTCTTGCCTGGGAATAGAGTCCTATCCATTCAGGCCCCAAAACTTGGGTTGGTACTAACTCTGCCACTCCTACCACACCTGCCATCTCTCCTAGTCACAAGTTGGAGTTTTTCCATCATCTCAATGCTTTTAGTACCTGCCATATTCCTCCAGGCTCCTCACGTAGACACCTGTCACCTAAACCTCAGGACCATTACCTCAACGCTCCTCTGTGAGGTCTGAGCATTCACTGTGTGCTCTCAACCAGGGTCCCACACAGCCCACTACATGTCCTGGCCCTCCAAACCCCGTGGGGACTGAGGCAAACCCCCATCCCAGCAGGCACCTGGAGATGCCAGCTCCATCCTGAGCTTCCCAAGCCTTAGGATCATGCGCTGTTTCCTGAGGACCTCACAGCTCTTGTGCCCTCACCCTCCCATTCCACAATGCTCTGCTGCCCCCACCCCCCACACCACCCAACCTGCATCAGCCTCCCACTCAGTGGTCCATTAGGTCCATGCTTTGTTCTTCTCAATGCACCACTTGTGGAAGGATGAGTTCTGTGTCCATGCCATGCAGGTACCAACTGACCTCAAGTCTGGGGCCATGGTAGGGTGATCGTGACTTGCCCTCTCTTGCCCGGCCCATATCTCTCTGTACCCTCCACTCTCTCTACCTCCTGGGGCTTCCAGACCCTCTTCACCTCTGCCCCATACGTGTCAACCTTCTTGCCCTGACAGTGAGTTCTTTGTGCTGTTCAAATATGGGAGGCCCGAGCCTTCCACATGGCGCCCCCTGCTGGCCTCTGGTTTATACAAATACGCCTGTTAGTTCAGTGTTAGAGCTTTGGTGGAAGCCTGGAAACTGAGGCAGGGCTCCTGTCTTTCATACCCACCTCCTCCCAGTACCAAGCCAAGCCATCTGCACATAAACCAGGTTTTGCCATCCACCAGTGACTAGGGAGAGAATTAAATCCAGGGCCAGGCCCGTCAACGGGCTTAAAATTGCTAAGACGCTGAGCAAGTAGGAGTTCTATAGCTTTCAGGTTCACCCAAATGAATACGAGTTCCCCTCTCCCCTCCCTCCTTCTCCTTCTCCTCTCCCACCCTCCTGGGGCGGACCTCGCTCACCGGGCTCTGCAGGATCATGGTGACGCGCTTCTTCTGCTCCATCAGGTTGAAGTCCTGTCGCAGGTCAGCTGCGCGACCGCGAAGGCGCAAGTATTCGGGGTCGTCCTCAGAAAAGCGGTCGAAGTACTGCTGCCCCTGCGGGGGCGGGGGGGAGGCAGCCTCTGGGACGGTATCTTCACTCATTCTTCTGGTGGGTTTACGATCCACTCCTGGAAACCTACAAAGAGAAGAGAAGAGGGTGCTCCCAGTCGTAGTACAGTTTTCTAAAACAGAGGGGCTGGATTCGGTTGTATTCACACGCTGGAGGTGGCTATTTCCAGTAGGGTGTAAGCCAAGCAGCGGTTTGGACTGCAGTGCGCCGGCAGCTGCCTATCTATAGGGGGCGCTAACACATCATCGGACCAAGCGAAAATATGGCAGAGGCTCAGGCGTCTACCACCCTTCCCTCACTAACCTGCCCGGCTTAAACAGCAACACCCCGGTGGAAGTGGACAGTTTGGAATCCAGTGTGAGTATGACCTGCACATCTTTTGGAGCATTTCTATGATGCATATCTATATAGTGTAAACCTATATATTGGGAGTTAGTACTTACTAAAGTACTATATCTAGACCTGATCCCACGAATGAGGACTAGGGCAGCCTTAGGAGAGTTGGACTGGGACCCCTTTTTAAGCATGCTTTTTTTTCCTAAGGTCTGAGGGCAAATATAGGAATGTCTTCTCTTACTATATTGGAGCCCTTCTGAAGAAGCAGGCTCTGCAGTTCCAGCCTCTACCTCCCAGCTGTGGGACTTTGGCCACAGCAGTCTCCCTTTGTGTGTCAGCACCACTAGGCCTTCAAATCAAGGTTATGCCCCTTCAACACTCAGGCCAGCCTTACAGAGCTCTAGCCTTCTCCCTGTTGTGTGATCCCCTTCTCAGCAAGAGGGCCTTAACCGAGCAAGAATTAGCTTCTGAACACGAGTAGAGAGATGCCAACAAAAGAGCATTACAGGGGATCAGGACACTGGCTTTCATCCTTAACCTGCCCCTCTCTCACTTTACCTCCATGGGCTCACATTTGCATTCCATGAGGAGGTGGAATGCTCTCTTGTTCCCTCAGAGCACTCCTGCCTCCTCATCCTGATCTCTTCTTTCCCTTTGGCCCATTCTGTTAGCCCAAACCTTGACCTTCATGACAGCCAGCAGCTCATTACACAAGAAGCCTTGCTGACAGCTAGTAAAGCATATTCTTGTTGTCGGTGAGCTGTATGTGACTTCTTCCATCTTCTGTCAGGCCTCTACCCTCCACCTTATAGTGTCTGAGTGGGGCAGACAGGATGAAGCATTAGGTAATAGGTAAAGTGGGAATTCACCCCATCAGCCCAGAACACTCAGGTGATCTTTCTTCCTCTCCCTCTTCTTTCATTTTTCCTTCCTACCTTCGTTCCATTTTTCCCTTCCTTCCTTCCTTCCTTCCTTCCTTCCTTCCTTCCTTCCTTCCTTCCTTCCTTCCTTCCTTCTTTCCTTCTTTTTCCCCTTTTGGGGAATAGCAAATGGCAAAGTTAAGGGAGGGAACATATGCAGAGTCCCTTAGCTTATTGCCTGAACCCGTGGCCTAAAGCAGTGGTTCTTAAACTTGGGTGCATGTTGAAATCTGCTGGGAAACTTGAAAAAATACTGATATCAAGGATTTTCATGTTATTAGTCTGCGGTGTGACCTGGACATCAGGATTTTTAAAAGCTCCCTGGGTGATTCCAATAGGCAGCCAGGTTGAAATACCACTGGCTAGATGTTAATAGTTGTACCATGTAATGGAAGGTATCCATCCCAGGTGTTGGCCATTTAGCATGCCAGCCAAAGATGGCACAAAGCCTCATCTTCTAACACTATTTCCAGGTGCCACTTCCCATGACTATCCACGTTCCATCCCCCAAGCCCAGTCACCACCTGCCACCATACACTTGACCTGGGACAGCAAGAGTGCTCTAAATGCCACCACAACCCGCTTTTACAAGTTTGCCAAACCATGACATCTCCTCTTCTTTCACCAATTAATCATTTCCTTATAAATGCCCTCATCAGATCTCTCCCAACAAGCATCATGCCTACCAGTCCTGTAGATGAGCTATTTGCCTGCAATGGATGGAGTATGGGGAAGGCATCTTCCGGAAGTGGCAGCGAAAACACCCAAAAAAACAAAAAGCATTCTCTAGAGAAAGATTTGTAACGGATTTGGCAGAGTGCTAGAGTGGCTGATGTGCTTCGTAACATTCAAGCCAGATTCTTCATTTAAGTAGAGAAAGTGATTGAGTCCATCATGGATGTTTCTGGTGGGATTAGCTATGGACTAGAAGCCAGAGTCTGCAGTATCACCCCCCCCCCCCCCCCCCCCCCCCCCCCCCGCCCCCGTCATTCTCTAGCTGCATAGGCTTGGGCAAGTAGTAATTTCCCTCTTGGGGTCTCCTCTTGTCTGTCTCTAAATGAGGTAGTGAACAGAATGAACTCTGGAGCTCCTTCCAGCTGTACACCATATGGAGAGAGACAGATTCGTATAGAAAAGCAGAAGGATGGAGGATCTGGATTTCCGGAGCAAGAGACCTTCCTCGTGCATCCTCATATTCTCCCCTTCCCCCTGGGGCCTCTCCCTCAAGCCAGATGCCAGAAGAGAAACATCTGCAAAGAATACACATGACCTATTGACATTTGCCTTGTAGGTTCAAGTCAATCCCTTGAGCATAGGTTGAGTTAAGAATACTTCACCTCCACCACGCTCTCAGACAGCCTCATCCCTGCAACTTGGGCAGTAAGAAAAGGGACTGCAAGGACAAAGACAATGGGAGTGCATCAGAGCTGTGCACACACGCAGTCACCACCCAGACTCTCCTGGGCAGACAGCACTGCAGACATTTTTCCAGAGGCACTGCCCCACCCTTTGTAATTCTCTTTGGCATTTTTGTAGCCCCAGTTTTTAATGTTATTTTAAAAACAAGCAGCCTTCTAATGAGTACAATGGATGTGCACATGGGGATGAGCTCCCTGTGTTCCTTATGACTCCAGGTCCCACCAGAGGCTGACCCTCTTTCCTTCCCCTTGGAGTGGCTACATTCCCAGGAATGGGTCTGTGAAGGCTTGAAGTAGCATTATCCTCCCTGAAGCATGAGGAACAAAAAAGTTCAGGTTCTGCTGGACAGGAACCCATATCACCATGTCCCCAGCCCTGCCTTCACTTCTCAGAGCCCATCCCAGAAGGTTACTCCAGAGATGCTCCAATGGGACTGGGTTAGAAAATGGAAGCCCTGACTCCCTCACCATGACAACAGGGGGCAGAGAAAACCACACTTTGACTTTGTGAACCAGAGGCATTCTTTTGTGCTCCTTCTTTTCCTTCTAAAATGTTACATAGGTGACCAAATTTACGTGCAGTGTGGTTTAGTGGTTAAAATCAGGGACTCTAGGGGCGCCTGGCTGGCTCAGTTGGAGTAGGTGACTCTTGATCTTGGAGTTATAAGTTTGAGCCCCACGTTGGGTGTAGAGATTACTTAAAACTAAAATCTTTTTTTTTTTTTTTTTAAGCATGGACTCTGGAATAAGAACATGATGAGTTCCAATCTTAACTGTGCCACTTATTAGCTATGTGATCTTGTTGGGCAAGTTACCTAACCTCTCCGTGCCTCAGTTTCCCCATATACAAAATGGGGATTGGAACTATTTAACCACCTCTTTAGGCTGTTTTGAGGATCTAGATGAGTTAATGTATGTAAAGAACTTAAAACAGCACCTGGTGTATATCGAGTGCTCTTAAGCATTTGTTCTTATTATGTGTTGTTTGGGGCTAGAATCATTACAGCATTAGGAACTCAAGTAATGAGAGGCTTATGATTCAACTGTAAACAGGTGCATATCAAGTATTGTAATTATATGTTGTGGTCCAAAAAACTAACTCAATCTTGAGCTGTATTAACAAAAAGAACATCCAGAAAAACACTGATGAGATTGAGTCGTTCTCTGACCAGAGAGTGGGAACATGTCAACCTGGAGATCACAAAAAAAGAGGATAAGCAGGATGGTGACCATCAGAGGCAAGCGCTTGTTGGGCCAGGTGTGACATCATAAAGAATGTATCTGGCCTTTGTCCCCAGTTCCTGGCACAGAGCTTCAAAAAGCCTTGAGATTTCTAAAATATCCAAAAAACATGAAGAGGGTCTTTTGTTATTCATAATGAGTCCATCTCATCAAACCTGAATTTATGCTAATGAGGTGACTTATGGCGGGCCCTTAGATGTTTCAAGGGAGGGACTGGCCAGCAAGAAAGACCAAGCACATGATTAGAGGGTTGGAACTTCAGCCCCATTCCCAACCATGGAGGACAGGAGGGGAAGGAGATGGAGTTCAATCAAGTGGCAGATGATTTAAACAACTATGCCTAGTACTAATAAAGCCCCCGTCCCCAGTGGTGCCCCCCATTAAAAATCTCTGGACAGCAAGGCTTAGAGGAGCTTCCTGATTGGTATGCTGGGATGGTGAGACACCCAGATTCTACAAGGAGGGGGCACGGATGCTCTGCACCAATCCCCCACCCTCCCCATGTTCTGCCTTATGTATCGCTTCTATTTCACTGTTCCTGAGTTGAATCCTTTATAGTAAAACTGTAATCACAATTATAGTGAGTTCTGTGAGTTGTTACAGTGAATTAGAGACTAAAGAGGGAGCATGGGAACCCTCAAATTTATACCCAAGTAAGTCAGAAGTACAGTGGCAGAGGAGGGGCAGAGAGAGAGGGAGACAGAGGATCTGAGGCAGGCTCTGTGCTGACAGCAGAGAGCCCGACGGCAGGGCTTGAACTCAAGAACCGTGAGACCATGACCTGAACCGAAGTCAAATGCTTAACTAACTGAGCCACCAAGGTGCCTCAAGTGTGGGCAATTTTATTGGTGACCTTGCCCTTTACTTGTGGTAGTTAACCTGTGTGCCCTTTAACTCAGTGTAGTGTCAGAATTGAGCTGAATTGTAGGACACCCCATTTGCATCAGAGAATTGGTGGCAGGACAGCACCAGGTAACTTCTATTTATGGTTCATTTTCATTCCCAGGACGCTTCCATAGGACAGATGTTATTGTCACAGTTTTACAGATAAAGTGAATTGCAGAGAGGTTAACTAACTTGCCTGAGATCACACAGATAACAGTGAGGTCAGGATTTCATCCAGGACTGTCTCTGGCTCCAGATCCTGCATTCCTCCACCCCAGTTGTCCCCAGATGTCTGTTAGGCTGCCATGTGGAAGAGGGAGGAAACTGATTCCTTAGAGACTCCAGGGCCAGAATTAGGTGGGCAGATTTTAGCTGAGGGTACAAGGGGAAACTTTGTACCAGCAGGAGCTCCTCAGGAACAGGAAGATGGGACAGGCTGCTTTGTCAAGTGGTGTCTCTCTCCTTGGAGCTCCGTGACTACAGGATTCTGTAGAGGGGCTTCTGCCTCTTCCAAGGGGATTGCACTAATGACCACTAAAGTCCTTCAGAGTTCATGGGAGCTCTTGAGTCAGCAGGATTAGGGGAGTTCGTGGCAATGACTTGGGAAACTGGAAGCTCATCCTGGTGAGATGACCTCAACCAAAAAGCCTGCCTCACTCCCTGTCACCCCCAAAAACTGCTGACAAATTACCGGGAGGCTGGACCAGCCTTGTCCCAGGCTGCTGCTTCTCAGTGCTCGGCCCGTGTACCCTGCTTCGTTCTCAGGGACTCCAACCACATCTACAGGATTTCAAACATCTGGGTGGAAGCTGAAAAACACAAACAACAAATATCAGGGTCTTGTCTGCACCACCAGGACTCCTCATCCTGTTTTTGTAGCACCATTAGGTGCTGATTTATTTTAAGGACTGTTAAGAAATTCTTTAAAATGAAGTAGAAATGAAATTTTAGTTTAAAAGCAAATTATACCTATGAAAAGAAGTAAAGAAATCTTCATTATCTTGACAAATGGGATCAAAACTCCTTTCAAAGAGAGGAATTGGAAACTCTCTTTGCTGAGTGTTGGCTTCAAGGAACAGGGGAGAGAAATTGCTCTACACAGTGGAGGGACAATGTGGAACTCCCGAATGAGCCCAGAGGGGTCACGGGCTGCTGAGCTGGAAGGCATATGACCCCTTCCTCACACCCCCCAATACTTCACTAACAGCTATTCAACTCACAGACATGGGTATGAGAGAATTTTGGGCACAGCCAAAGAAGCAGGAGAAGCCTGAAGAATATCACACCCCAGGAAAGTGGAAGGGTTTTGGAGGTGCACAGGCTATGAATTGGTGGATTCAAGACAATTTCACTGAGAATTCAAGGGGAAGAGAGGCCCCCAGCTGATACCTGGGGAACTGGTCATGAAGTACCCCTGAAGGAGGAATGGAAAGTTTTGAAAGTCTTACAAACAAGGATGAGTTACTACTCCAAAAATCCTGGGGATCAAGGTCTTCAAAAAACACATAGTTTTCCATTTTCACTCGGGCAATGTTCACTTGTTCACTTGTTGCTCAGAGCAAGGATGCTTGTCTCCCCCAGAGATGGCAGCATCCCAGACACCAACTCCTATTCCCACCATGGCCCCAGGCCCAGTCCCTGACTGTCCTGCCTCACTGGCCAGCTCAGCTCCATCCCTGACCCAGTACTGCCCACAGCAGAGCATCTGGGAAGACTTGACTTACCACTGAGGGACAGAGAGATTGCATCTTGGTAGTTACTGTGTGCCTGAGGGAGTCTGGGACACTGCATGCCCGCTGAGGCACAGCTTCCTTCTCAGCCCAGCCGGGGTACCCTGGGCTCAGCAATTCAGTACTGTGATGGCCCCTGAGCCCAGTCTTGATGCTCACGGCTCTAGTTAGGGACCTGGCAGTTGCTTCCATAACCTATTCTCTATGCTCTGCACGTCCAACTGCCAGCTGGGGTCCTCTTCCCACTAGTTTTATTTTTAGGCAGAACAGGGCCATGGCCACCACCTGATGCTGCTTCTGTCCAACATCTACCAACATGGAAGGGACCCTCCCTTCCAGGGCTGTCTAGCTCTAGGGCAGGGCTTGCTGACAACTCTGGATGCTATTCTTTTTTTTTTTTTTTTAAGTTTGTTTATTTTTGAGAGAGAGAGGGGGAGGGAGAGAGCGGGGGAGGGGCAGGGAGAAAGGGATACAGAGAATCCCAAGCAGGCTCCATACTGTCAGTACAGAGCCTGATGCGGGGCTTGAACCCACTAACCATGAGATCATGAGCTGATCCAAAACCAAGAGTCAGATGCTTAATTGACTGAGCCACCCAGGTGCTCCTTTGCTATTCTTTTACAGGTGGCCATTGATGTCCCATAAGGACCAATCTTGCAGCCTCGTAAATTGTCTTATCCAAAGCACAAGCTTCTTCCCCATCCCCAGCAGCCCATGCCACAGGGTATGAGATATGAGGTATACTTTAGTGGCCATAACCTGCTAAGATTTGGATTTTCAGAGTCTGAGCTATTAATTGTATCCACTGAGAAAACTAATATTTTGCCCCCAGAAGTAACCTGTGTCATTCATGTAAGAAGACAGACATCTTTCCCCCAGATAAGTGGACCCTGAAAATAATAATTCCCATCCTAATCTCTGTTGGTGTTGAAATTCCACTATTAGAGTTTCATTCCACAGGTTGTAGTATTATCCCCTGATTAAAATGAAAATAGGCTTGAAAGATATCATAGGCAAATATTGCAAAATATTCCCCTGCGGTACCAAAACTATCAGATCTCTGACTGTACAGTCAGGCTGAGCAGGGCCAGGACAGGCACCATATCAACAAGTCTTAATGAGAAAAAGGTGTGATGCCAGGGCCACTCAGAAGGGTCTAGCAATTGGGGCAGGGCTGCCACCCTGAATGGACCTCAAGGGACCCCGGTCTGACAACTCTCTGAAGAGAGATGATAAGATCCAGGCTTTTAGCCAGCACACAAAGCCCCATGAATCTCTCAGTGCCTGCCCCCACCCTCCCTGCCTCTCATGGGTGCTCGGAGGCTGTGCCCAGGACCTAGAAGGCACCAGGCTGGTTCCCAATTCTATGCCTTTGTCCGTGCTGATCTCTCCCTGGAGAACTCTTTCCTCTTTGCCTTCTCCCTTCAGCTCTCCTCTTCAGCTCTTTGTCCTTTCCTCCTGGAAGCCTCCCTGCCACACCCCTGTCCCTTAGGCTCTCCCATCATCTTTCCTCACCTCTTTTGTTCCACTTACAATCTGACAGCAACAGACTATTACCATGAGCTCCTCAGCAGGCAGGGCCTGTGTCTTTGGCATTTCTCTGTTTCCCATGTTGCCACAAGCCGTGGTGCCAGTCAGATGCTGAATGAATGTTAGTTGAACCAAAACTCAATTAACAGTACTTTGGAAGTTCAGCCAGTTCGGCAAAGCAGCACTGTCCAGGTCCTGGGGTGCTAGAGGTGAGAGAGGCTCTAGGCCCTAGGGGAGCTCATGGACAGTATGGGGAAACAGAGCCCTAAGCAGCCTATTTCATGGTAAGGTGCTGAGTGTTAACGGAAGCACATATGGCAGGCTCCCTAGTGCCCAGATCACCTCCTTTAAAACAAAATGTTCTTTTGTTGTACAACCCAAATGGCTGGGCCCCCTCTGGCAGCCAATCTTCCTACCTATTTTGAAGCAGAATTCTAGCAATTGACCACAACTCTTTAACAAATCCAATTCCACATTATAACACTGATTATGGGGAGACAGAGGAGAAAGCAATATGCACCACATACCACCAGCCACAATCCCCTTGGCTCTCCACAATTCAGCCCTGCCCCCTTATCTGTCTCTCTCACCTCTGCCCTCTAGCAGCCCTTCTCCTGCCCCCATCCCAGGACCCTTGATTCTGTGCTCAGGGGAGCCCTGAGGCTCCCTCTCAGTATCCCCAGTTTGTATCCTCACACCCTTGACCCCTACTCGGCAAAGACTCTGCCTGGGGTTTCATCCTCCTAGCAGAGCAGCTGGGGACTGCAAATCATGAAAGATGCTCTCTGTCACAAGTCATTTTCCTCACTGTCCCACCGAACACCAGGTGTTTGTAATCACTTGAGTATAAAACCACATTTCTATGGGTCATTCTTAACTGCTCTAAAAGGAACAGAAGGTCTAGAAGGAAAGTAACAGATGCCCAAGTTGTCTGACCTTTTGTTAGAAGCTGTTTGAGCTCCATGTGCACCTAAGAGAGGTGGGTGCCTGTCTCCTGCCCCTTCAGCGGGAGGTATCAAACAGGAACAGACAGTCTGAGCACCCTGGGCCCAAAATGGAAAGATGCTGCAAGCAATCACTTCCAGCTACCCCCACCACCACCATGGGCATGGACTCCCCTGGGGTGGTCCCAGCCCTGGAAAGCCCTAGGCCCCCAGCCCCACAGCACACCATTTGTCCAAGCCTTAGACCAAGTCAGAACCCAAGCTCACCGATCCTTGAGACTTCCAGAAGGGAGGGAGGAGCCGGTCATGGCTTTGCTGCGGTTACTTTGCTAAGTAAATGGAGACTGCTGAACAAGGGGCTGGACCACACCCTGCCTGGTCTGTTCAGATAAAGAGAAAGCTCGCAGCTCTGCATGGTGGGATTATGGGTGAAGCTTATCATCAGCTTCTTCATACGGTTCTGAATTTCCCAAGTTTTACATTAGGTATCAACTGCTGTGACCATTTAGGACAAAAATAGTTTAAAAGAAGAAGAGGAGAAGGAGGAAGGAGAGAAATGGTAAAGTCTCTCCCTATCCATCTCTGGAAACCCCCTTGGCTGGAAGAACCCTTTAATCTCCTGACTGCTACAGGTCTAAGAAGTGCTCATTTCTGAGCATCCCTGATGCATCTTTTCCTAGCAAAGTCCAGTGAATTTTAAAAGCCTTTTAGTAAAGGGCCCCAGACCTAATGGTTGGTAGGCACTTTTTTCCATTCTTCTATCATCTAGAAATTGTGCTGCTGTGGAATGAATGGACCCAGTATTTTTTCTCACCGCTTGAAATCAGTCCCATTGCCCCTCGCTAGACAAGCACAATTATTTGTTCAGTACCTATTGGTGCCCAAGAATGAGCATGAACTGAAATTGGGCATGAGAGGAAAGATTTCCAAAAGAAATGAGATTTGGCCCCTGCCTGCTAGAGGCCTACAGTCATAGTGAAAAATGTGAATACAAATGTAGATAGATAGATAGATAGATAGAATAACAAGCATTGAACACATACTTTCAGACCACCTCTGAAATGACGATCTCTCTCTCTCTCATATTATATATATATATGAGATCTCTCTCTCTCTCTCATATTATATATATGATATATATACATAATATATACATATTTTATATATATATATATATATATATATGGACCGAAGTTCTGAGTTAGATATTGAAGGAAGACATTATTCAATCAACAGAATTCAGGCTATTAAAGCCAAATAGGCACAGTTGTGCTGGGCCCTTCTCATTGACACTTCAGTGAAGGGCTCATCTTCCTGGATTTCAGGTGAGGAAATTGAGGCTCCAGGAAATGGGGTGGCCTGATCAGGGCTACAGAGCTATTGAAGGGCAGAGGATAGTTTGAACCCATCTGGTTCCAGAGCCTGGTCTCTCTTTTCACTTCGCCATGATTCCCTCCCCTCCTCCAAATGAAGATGAACACATGCAAGGGGGCCTGGTAGGAAGGTGGGGAATGGAAAACAGCAAATAGCAAAAGCCCAAGGCCCAGGCTTCATATTCTTCGAAGAAGCCAGCCCCTTAAAGGATCATTTTGTTTCCTATTTCTG